ACATTGTGAGAGAGGCGCGCGGAGTGCATATCTTCCGGAAGAAGATCGTTGTGCAATTAAAACAAAAAATTGATTCTGCATCTCCGTGCAAATGCTTTTCGCTCGATTTGCGCGATATTGGGGGTTTTACGCGGTGAAGTAAAAAATTAAATAAAAGTACAAAAAAAAAAAAACTAAGTACAGTAAGAGAATAATAATATATAATATGTGTAATATTTAATATATATATATATTATAATACATACAATATTAGTATAATAAATAATATGTTATAATATATTATAATATATAACAATAGTATTAAAATATTATCCAATTTTTTTTAATACACTTTACTACTAAAATAGTATGAAAAAATTATTATAACATTGTGTTTAACAGAGATTTTCTCTCTGGGTAAATGTGTGCTGTGGATAATACGTACGCGAAATATAATTTTAAACGTATAAATTGTTACACATAATAATTCGAACTGAATTCAATTCAAAAATTCACGTTGGATGTTTGTTTTACATCACTTATGTGAATTACCCATTTTTTACTCCTCTATATGAAATTTAAAAAAATCCGCTTCAAAAAAGATATCTCAAATCCGCATTTCGTGCAGAAGAGGATCCGAGTTCGGCTCCACGATCAACGTGTGTTTGTCTTTTTTTTTTTTCAATGAAGTTCTTAAATATCATAAAAAGATAAAATGACAGATTCATTTTTACGTGACGCTAAACAAACATCCAATATGAATTAAATTCAGTTCGCACTGTTATGTGTCTAATAATTTACGCGTTTAAAAATATATTTCGCGTATGCAGCACATTGATCGAGAAACTCTTCGCTAGTTTGATACCTATAGACGTTTGAATTTGATTGTGTCTAAAATTATCGGCACAAAATATGAAAAACCAAGAAGAAAAGCAACGATAATACATATACGGCGAATACACGAAGCATTCAGAGGATCATTCTTATCCTTCGAGAGAAGCGACAGAGATTAACCCGGTGTGTCCGATATTCCCACATGTATCAATGAATGACGCTTCGTGACCAGCCTGTCCCCTTCTCGAGACACGAATCTTTGTCGCGAGGACAAACACGAGAGGAACCGGCATCCTCGAGAGTCGGACAACAAAAGAGATCCTTGCTCTCTAAAAAGAGATTTCGAGAGAGAGCTCGCAAGCGTTGCGTGTCACCGCGCGCGCGGCGACACCGCAAAGAAACCTCGCCTCTCTTTCTCTCGAGATACGGGTCGCGGGGCGATCAAGAACGCGGCGAGAGAAACTTGTCGCGATCGGGCGACAAACAAATTCGGCAGTACCAGATGGCGGGGCCACGGATGCATCGCGTGCAGTGTCGTGTCCCCAGCTGACGCTGATCGGAGGAAGGTCGCACCAAGGAAAAGCGGTTGCGGTCGTTCAAGTCTGGGAATCAATTCCATCGAGATTTGTTGAGCCACACGACCGCACCGGTTCCTCTTCTACGTGTCGCGTGTAGTAGACGATCAAGATGTCCGGACTCGTACATTGTCTCCCATTTCCCGAGAGAAACTTTTTTTCAGACAGAGTCTCGCTAAACGAATAGCAGTCGAATTTCCGCTTGAAAAAAAAAAAAAAAAAAAAAAAAACAAAAACACGACTTCAGCCGCAAATATAAATTTACCGCCTCAGTCACTTTCTTTATCCGATCGTATCCGTCGAGACCCGGCATTTACAAAAGAATGTCGGAACAATCTCGCAACAATCACATTTACATATTGGTCCATATTACCTTATCTAGATATTTCGAGGTATCCGCGATAGTTATCTCACTCACGAAAATGCGATCGGGCTCGCATCAGGTGCTCGCATGCGCGTTATCGCAACGAGATTGCGCTTGCAGCGCGATCGGCTATTAAGATCGGCGACAAACGATCTCAATATTGTCAACTTCGATCGCGCGGCAAAGGTGCGAACATGTGATCGTCCCGATTTCCGACAATATGCGATCAAAAAAAATCGACAACTCTTCTGATTTTCACGACGTTCTTTTCTTTGTTTCGCGTGACGTAGTTAATCTTCCTCTCTCTCTCTCTCTCTCTCTCTCTATGAAGTTTCACAAAGAAAATATTGATTGACAACAACGAGATAAAGTCGTTATTTCGACGAGATTGGTATTTCCAGCATTTACTTCTCTACATTGCTTCTGTAACACAGACACGCACCGCGAGTGTATCCACTTGATTCTCGGTTGCATGACTCATTGTCTGCGCGATTAGGCCAATAAGGTGTAACACCTTACGATCGATCGCGGCGATAAGGAATTTCTCTCCCGGATTTTCCCTCCCTTCGTTCCGGTCTCGACGTTCACGTTCGTAGATTCCGCTTGTTTAGGCATCGGTAATTCCGCCGCGTGTAGTCGGGCACGACATGTGCGGGACGCCGAAATTGCCGTGGCGCGATCTTTATCGGCCGTCCGGCCCGTAGAGATACGAGACGACCGATATTCACGGTTCGGCATGGAAGCTCGCCCATGGCGTCTGATTAAACGGCCGAGTGGCCACGCTCTAACGTATGTTTAGAGCCGCGCCGCCTCGTATGTATGCGGCCATTCGGAGTTGCGGTACCTGTTCGTACCACGGCGATTAGTTCGTATCGCTCTTCGATTAGGGAATGGAGCCGGGCACCCGATATATATACCCGTATGCGCCGCCCGATCGAACTTCGATGCGCCTTCGTGCACGCGTGCCCCGATGTTCGAGCGAGCGATTGCTCCGGATGTGTGCGCCTCGTCGTCTATAGACGATTCGAGATTTGCGATTCCCGCGCGCGCAGGTGTCTAGGAGAACGAGAATTCGGCGGAAAAAAAAAAGCAGCTCCCGAAAGTAGCCCTTGTATCAGGGAAATCGCATATCGTTACACGGTTGTTGGATATCGCACGATCGTGCGCGAGTCGTGCTGTGATGATACACGTCAGACGTCTAAAGAGACTAATTTCGCGTCGATAGTTGGGTGTGCTCCCGATATGATTACAGAGACAATATTGGCGTGACAATAATTGAGAGGTGCAGAAGCCGAGCATCTGTATTATACATCGGGCAAGTTTCGGGGAATCGTTGAGGAGAGGGGAGGAGAAAGACAAAATTAGATTTACAAATCTGCTCGTTCCCTTCCGTTCCCCTTCGAAGAAGAGAGATTTTATTCGTTTTTTTTTTTTTTTTTTTTTTTTTTTTTTTTTTTTTTTTTTTTTTTTTTTTTATTCACGATGAAAGGTAACTTTGTTAAATCGTCACCCAGGTGTCCTCCAATCATTCGATAATAATTGATCGCGCGATTCGAAATACACACTGAATTTCTCTCAGAGCTCTCCGCGGCTTAGATCCGCAGATTTTCGCTGTCAGACCGAAATGATCACGCGTGAGCAACGATGTGGTCCCGCGATATGGACCGAGGGGGTACACAGGGATATGTGAGGGAATCGATGGGCGAGTCGACGTTAACCGAGAAGACCGCCTTCTCTCTCTCTGCCGTTTCTTTTTGCCTTCCTTCTCCCTGTCTCCTCTGGCCTCCTTTTCCCTCCGCGCGCGGCGGCCACTCTACGAAGAAACCTGCATCTACCTCTCCACCTTCCCACCCTCGTTCTCCCACGCTGCACCTGTCGTGCGCACGAGAACGTTGAAGGTGGTGGTGGTGGTGGTGGTGGAATAAAATTCTAGCCCGAGCGAGCGCATGTACTCGGTAAGGTCGAAGCCACGCTAAATCCATTTATCTCGCGTACGTTTGGTGCTACGTACACGTGTGCGAATGGGAAAAAAGAATAAAGAAAGAGAGAGAGAGAGAGAGAGAGAGGAGAGAAAGAAAGAGAAATGATGTCTGGATTTCGCAAAGACAACCAAGAAGTTTCACTTGGAGCTCCGAATGAAGAAGACGGAAAGCTTTTTTTTTCGAAGGATTAATTTTTCATATACGACTCTCGACAATGTTAAAAACGGACATACATGTGGTTTTAGTGAAATTTATTTACCGGGTTAATCGACACACACAATTTCAATTCAAAGCAAGAAATATAAAAAATATAAGTTTTTTTAATTCAATGTTTTCGAATGGAATTTTACTCTCTGGAGGAATGGAATTCAAATTCCGCCGACCGCGTCTCGAATGCGATTTTTCAGAGTCTAGCCGGGGAACAACCCTTCTCTGTCGGGATTTTCTTTCTTCGTGAGACCTGCGGATTAGTAGGCGTGCTCGTGCACGCCCGCGAGATCTTCTGATAAACGATCGGGCGTCGCTGGCAAAGGAAAGATCTTCTTTCCGCGAAAATAAGGTCGACCTGCGTTAGAGTGTGGGCGTGGTGAGGGTGTTTTTTTTTTCTTTTATTTTTGCATGCGCGGACATATCAGTTCGCGTCGCCGTGTTCGAAACACTCGACAAAGTTGCCAGCGTCTCCCGATCTCTCGTCACGAGAAACAAAGAAATCTTTGTTCGAAGTTCGAGACTTTGTGATCCAAACAAAAAAAAAAATGTGTAATTACATGTAAATTATATAATTGTTTTATACACACAATTAAAAATAATTTTATGTATTTGATGACGTTATTATCTGTAATATCGGAGCGGGAGAGCAAAACGGGAGGGCGGAAAAACGTACTCAAAGAGTGGGCTAGTTTTGATAAGTATTTTATTTTTATAATGATGAGTGTGTGTGTTTTTTTTATAATCGATCTATAATATACATCGTAGCATTCGGTTTATACATAATTACAATTGTAAATATCTCGTTCTCTCGCTCTTAACGCTCTTAATGCGTAGTAGTAGTGAGTCGTCGTGTGTGTCGCGGGAAGGGAAACTTTGCTCGCTCTCCTCTCGAGGGCGAGGGAGGTGGGGGGGGG